GTACATTGTTATGATAAGCAAGGACACCTCTTCCAAAATTGTGAAATTCATGGCCCCAGGGACAGGGGTTCTGGTGCTAGGGTGGGGCTATATAGCTCCTACAGTGAAGGTGAATTATTTCTTTGAAAATTCTCTTCTCTGCCCCTGGGTACTATTTAAACAAACTAAGTACATTGTTATGATATGCAAGGATGCCTCTTCTAAAATTGTGAATTTCATGGCCCCAGGGTCAAGGGTTCTGGTCAAAAGGGGGGGGGCTCTATTGATTATATAGTGAAAAATCAAAATTTCTTTGAAAATATTCTTTTCTGCTTCTGGTTAAAAAGCAAAGAAGCTAAGTATATAGTTATGATGAGCAAGTGTGCTTCTTCCGGAGTAGTGAATTGCATGACCCCTGGGTCAGATGTGCTGGTATAAGGGTGGGGCTGTTGATAATGTAGTGAAAATGCATTAATTCTATTAAATAATCCTGTCTGCTCCTTAATGTTAAGCAGTTATACAAAGTGATTACTTATGATGAGTAAACTTGAAACTTCTGGTCCCAGGGTGAGAGGCTCTGGTGTTTCTCGGTGGTGAAGGGGGGGGGGGGGGGAGGGGCTCTATTGATAATATAGTGAATCTGTAGTGAAAATGCATTATTTCTTTAAAAATCTTCTCTGCACTTGGGCATATCAGAGGCAAAAAGTGTAAAAGTTGTAATAAGGAAGGGTATTTTTACCAGATTTTTGAACATCTGGACCATTTGGTCAAGTGTTCTGGTCCTAGCCAGGGCTCAATTAATTTGCATTCTACTGAGAGGAGTTATTCCCCTTTGCTGTTTACTTTTGATAATTAATCACTGTAAATAATGTACTTGAAAAATTAATAGAATAAGAGAATTATGCAAGAATTTTTATTGTATAATGCAAAAAGTATTTTCGTAGTTTTAATGATCATGTGGACTTGTAAGTAATAGATAAATAAAAATGAGACAAAAATAACTTGTCTTATTAAATGTTCATCAAAGACCAAGAGAGGCCAATGTAAGAGATAGCAACTGTCAACAAAGAATTAAAATAGTACAAAGCACTGATAGTTTGTTAATATACTGTATGGTGATAGTGATAAATGGGGAACAGATTAGAACCTAATTTATGAACTGTTAATGAATAGTAGACTAATTATTTTGTTGATCCTGATCTCCCTATTTTTCATGCTTTTGGGCAACAAAGCTTCACCTTTCATTTCATTTTAATACTCTATGGATCCTCTAAATTGTTGTATTGTACTCAGGTGACCGTTAAGGCCCTTGGGCCTCTTGTTCTTTCATAGAGAAGAAATCATCTGTTGAAACCAGTATCAGTCATATTTGGCACAGATGGATCTTAAGATAATGTAAGTATATTATCATGTATAATAATTATTGTTTTTGTTTTCCATTTGCACCTTTTAGCTCACCTGAGCTGTTAGCTTGAGTGGTCACATTTGTTCAGTGTTCGTCTGTCTGTCCAATTGTAAACTTTTTGACTTCCTCTCCAGAACCACTAGGCCAATTTCAACCAAAAGTGTCACATAGCATCCCTGGGTAAAGGAAATCCAAGTTTATTCATAGAAAGGCCACACAATCTTTCAAGAAGGAGAAAACCTAGTGAAAATTTATTGGCATGTTTAAAAAAACAGAACCACTTGGCCAGATGAGTTGAAACTTCTGTGAAACTTTCATTACATAGTGTAGATCCAGTTCTGTTCAAATCTTGACCTTTGTGGGATAGGATGGGTCCAAAAAGGACAATCAAAGTCTTACATAGGGATATATAAGAAAAAATCTTCTTCTCTAAAACAGCAAGGCCTTAATCAGTCATATTGATATGGAAGCATCCTCAGGTATGTAGATTTAAATTTGTTCAAATCAGGTTTCTTATAATAAATTGTGTGAAGTGTCCTAATTCATGTCCTTATGAATTTTCAAAAGTTGAATTCATTTCTTAAATGAACTCATTGTATCCTAGTGTGCCAATAACAAGCAAAATTATAAATGGTGTCCAATATATTTCATGAGAAAATCAAAATTCCCAAGTCTTGTAAATACAAGCTGGGTTGAGTGGGACTGAAATATGGAAGCAAATTTTACATTATACAGATCAGCTACATAAGTCATATTGCTATCCAGCATTGCATTTGTTGTGAGTGGATTCAAGTATGCATAAGTCATGGCTCTTGATGCTAGGGTACAGCCCCAGTAAGAACATGAATGTTTCATGTGAATAGAGATTGGAATGTCTTTCAAAAAATAATAGCATTGCATATGTGGCTCAGGTGAGCAGTGTGGCCTATGGAACTCTTCTTATTAATTTTTTTCTTTTAATTCATAAATTGCTAATTTGAACCCAAGGTAATATTTTAATTTTACTCAGATTAAAGGAAAGAACTGTCCTTTGAGATTGTCAATTTTTCTCCATTTAAGGAAATGCAGTTTGGGCAACTTTGTATAATATTGTTTTTAATTTTTGAAGTTTTTACACAGCAGCCAGATTCTCATGAGAGACTGTGATTGCCAGGTAGTCAAGACACAGACATGACTAAGACAAGTGAGATGACAGAACCAGCATCATGGGTCTCACTGATTAAGTTCCAAAAAATACAGTTTGAGATGATTTCTTTGAATGCTGTTACATGCATGGGCATTGTCCTATCAAGAAACAGATGAAAATTAAATGAATTGAAGCTTTCTTTGAATGAGGAATCAATAAAAAGAGGAGAAATATTGAATTTAAGACAAATCATGTAAAGGTTAAACCTAAAAAAAAGAAAACAATTCTCATAAATAAATTGATCATGCTTTTGTCTGAATTTTCATAAATAGTTCATTGGAGTATTACCAACATTTTTTGTTAATTTAAGGATTACAAAATGTCTGTTCATCTCTGTTGCTGTGGACCTCATTTGGTTGCTATACATAGATTGCATAACTGATGCAGAAAATTGAATATGTTTTTTTAATTTATACGTGAGATGAAGCTTAAGTATCTTGTTTTCTGTATATAAATACATATTTTCCTCCATTTTTTTTTCTCAGTCTTTTGAAAATACATTGGTAACTATGCAGTAAAACTGGTTGCTAAGGGCACATTACATAATTATTTCAACATTATATCACTTTATTTATTGATGTTGCAAGAGTATTTTAGCAAATATACATGAACATAGTATCAACGTGGTAGAAATTGAAGGTTTTTCCCTTAAAAATTGATGTGTGTTTTTAACCTTTATTTGGTGTAAGAACTTAAAATATAACCTTTTTTCCAGAAAAAATGATAAAAATGCCTATCAATTTTATATGTCATTCTTGTAGATCAGCCTGTGTTTTGAATGATTCAGTTTCAATTTAATGCTCAACTTGTTGCATATTATCTATATATATTTTTACACTAAACAGTAATTTTCAAATTTTTAAACTGTAAAACTGTACAAGTTTGTGTTGCCATGGCAACTGATGCCTAGGTATTAAGATTTTCATTGATATTTTTTGGTATACTGCATACCTTTAATAATATGTTCATACTTTGTTGAAGCTGATATCGGTATACTTTTTGGTAAAACATATTTAGAAAAGTGTTAAAATTGAAGCAGTTTTTTTTTTTATCTTACTATAATTTCCATGGTAACACAAAATAAGGGGAAAGAAAATAGTTCTGTTGGTCAATCATAATTATGATTGACAAAGATAATGAAGGTATCAGACCAAAATTGCATAAATATTGCATTTAGGGATGCACACTACTGAATATTTGTTTGAATTCTCATAACTACGGTAGTTCATTGGAGTGTCTCCAATAGTTTTTGATAATTCATAAATAACAAAATGTCTGTTCAGCTCTGTTGCTATGGACATCATTTGGTTGCTATGCACAGAATATGATTGATGCTGAAATTTAAGTATGTTTTATTATTCCTAAGTGAAATAAAGCTTGTTAATCTAATTTTTTATATTTAAATACATGTTCTCCTTTACTTTTTGACACATCTTGAAAATGCCTAGGTTGCTATGCAGTAAATTTGGTTGCTATGGGCACATTACAGGATTCCTAATATCACTATATTTATTGATAATGCAAGAGTATAATAGCAAATATACATTAACAATTATCAATTTGGAAGAAATTGAAAGTTTTCCTTAAAATTTGCTGTGTATTTTAAACATTTTTTTAAGAAGGAAAAAATAAAATTTAACCGTTTTTTTCCACAAAAACAATAAAAATGTTTCTCAATTTTATACGCAATTTTCGAAGATCAACCTGTATTGTGTAAGAATCAAATCCATTTTTATATTCAGCTTGTTGTAGATTTTATATATATATAAGTTTAAACTAGAGAGGTAGTTTTCAATTTTTCAAACTGTAAAACTGTACAATATTTGTGTTGCCATGGCAACAAATGCCAATGTATTCAGATTTGCGTTTAAACTTTTTTGTATACTATACATCTTTAATAATTAGTATAATCTAAGTCTGTTGTAGGTGATATCTGTATTCTTTTTGTAAAAATATTCTTTTAAAAAAATTAAAATTGAAGTTATTTTTCTTAACTTACGATGGTTTCCATGGCAACAGATAATTAGGGAAAAAAATAATAGTTTTTATGATCAAACATCATTTTCATATACGTAAAAGTTGTGTACTATGAACACTTTTTACAACCAATAAAAGAAAACAGGGTGTTAAAATTTTAAGTTTCCATCTGAAGCTTGATGATTCGTGACATTCTCTCTTAAATATGTTTAACATTGTAGGATTATTATATGAACGAATGTTATCTTGGTCTATATCAGATGTTGAAATATAAAAATTGAGTTTATGAAGAATTATATCGTCTGACACTAATAATATTTCAGGTAAAGCAGGTGCTTCCAATTGATGTAATGATTCATAGATAAGTAACATTTCATTACAATTTTAGCAAGATAAAAAAATGTTTTTTTTCTTTAGTTATACAAAAGGTTGAGTATTATGTAAACAGTGTACCGTGATTTTGGACAAAACATTGAGTTGTTGATGTGTTCACGTTCCACCTGCATGTTTCAATACGGTCATCACTAGATGTATCTATAATGCTTATCTCCTTTGACATGTTGAAGAAAATATGCTTGCACACAATAAAGACGTGTGTTTTATTGTACGTTGCTATCGCCGTAAAACCTGAAACTAAAGGTGAGGGCTAATGAAAACAGATATATATATATATATATATATATATATATATATATATATATATATATATATATATATATATATATATATATATATATATATATATATCTCGTCATGTACCGAAACCAAAATGCAGAGAGAAAGGTAAATAAATATCAAAATTCTTTATTTAAAATAAATCATCAAAGTAGTTGGTATCATACTTTTAATTCTTGATTATTACTGATTTTGTTTTCTAAAACAGAAAAAGTGTACTTACGACAAGGAAATAGAGTGATATTTTTGTTGTGATCAGTTCCATTAACACAGGTGGAATTAATCCACATTGACTTGCCAGCGTGCTTTGAATGGTTAAATGTGAAAGTAAATTCCAAAAATCCATATGTTTCATTATACAATCCCGATTCTGCACAACTAACGTTTCCATTTTGAGACTTTATACAGTGTGCAATGTAATTTGAGTCACCTTCAACCGTCACCGAGGTAGAGTTTAAATCACAGTCTAAGTAAACTTGTAATCTTTTAGTGTCATTGTGACAGAAACCATTTTCTATTTGATCTTCATTGATTACGTCCAATAGGATGCCTTTAAATATAAACACAAACTTTGTGAATTAGTTATTCTGAACGTGTACTTAAAAGAGTGGGCTTCATATTTTGGCGCACTCAACAATGCGCTTATTCATAAATACCGTTGATAAATCAGTATTATACGTTATACACTGTAAAGACATTGGTACACTTATTCAAGATTACACCAGCAACTCAATATCCAGAGAAAATTTTCGATGGGACGTTAAACAAACAAAGAAACAAACAATATTCAGTGATTGTGCTAAATTTTGAATACGTCAATTTATAAACACGTACAGTGTATGTCCAGAAAGTACTTTTATATTACAAATTTTAAAAGATTTATTTTTAATAGAAAGCATGTAAGGAAAGGTTAAACATTATCAGTGTAAGTGGAAAAGAGTGAGGGAACTATGGCAATGCTTTAAATTGAAGGACCATTATTTTCACAGTGAACTGTCTGCGGATTTTTCTGTTTACCCAATCTTGACAAGAAGCACAGGGCAGGTGTGACCGGTCGACAGGGGATGCATATTCTCCCATGGCACCTGATCCTACCTCTGCTTGTGTTAATGCTGCTCCTCATTTGTATGGTTTAAATGGACTTTTGAGCTTGATTACTGCTTGTTATCTTCATATTTCCTACACGAATGCATTTACTACATCTGCTGGAATTTTCTTATTAGCGATGTTAAACTTTCCATGTGCTTTATTTTTGGGAGCAGAAATCTCTGATCCGCAGTGGAACGTGATAATGAACTTGATATCTATCATTATCTATACAAAATATACTGAAATATAGGACAAATATTGTTATACTTAAATAAATGAGTATTAACTATTCTGCCAAATTAAGGTACGTAGGTAATTTCAGTCCCTAAATAGCAACTTGTGTATACATGTTATCGCAAAGACCACTTTGTTTTGAAAATACTGATAGATTGAAATATAGAGATAACGAATATCTATAACTTGCTTTTACGTGTTCTTTAGCTTTAAATATATAAAACTTACTTTCTTTAGTTCTGCAATTGAAACTCCAAATATCCACATAAATAAACGTATACATGCATTTAACATATATCATGTTCCCTTATAAAATATCGGTGGCATATTGCTTTTTTTTATATCCGACAATATTTCACCCTCTCTCTCTCTCGTGAATAAATTATAAAGCTACTCAAATTTCAATGGATTGGAATATGTTTTAATATTTGGGTTGACATTTTAAAAAAAAATATTGTACACATTTTTGGTGACGATGGCTACACTTCCGGTTTGGTTTTTTTTTTATATGATCAAAATTATACTTAATTTACAGTCTTTTGAGTAAATCATTATTTTATCTCTTCTATGCATTGTCTTTCTTGCTCCTCACCTACATGTATATTGCTTTGCACTATGACTTTTGTGAACTGCCATGGTTACCGACCTGGCGAACCTTGACCTTTGACCTACTTTAGAAAAAAGTGAATAGTGCCAATATACAGCATGTTTTTGACATTTCAGAGGTAAGCCTATGCTATTATTATATGTGCACTGATTGTCATAAAACATCATGAAAAATACCAGCATTACAATTCACTTAATTTTGACCTTTGACCTACTTTGCAAAAAAAAAATACCACGGACAGTTTAATTAAACTGAAGTCTTTTGATTTTTGAGAGGCGGGACGTTGACAATTAGCATTTATACATGTTTATGAGCTCATGAAACTGTACTTTGAAACTGCATGATATTAGTTACCTCACAAACTGATATTTAAATAATATGAAAGTACATCGGGATCGGTATCCCACAATGGATCGTGTAGACCAACAATTGGAGTTAAGACTTTGAAACACGTATTAATACATGTAAAATGATTATTCATAATAAATTCAATTTAATTATTCATTTTAGGGTTGGGAATAATATTTTCTTTGATTTTCAGATTCTATAGCAGTCTTATACTATGCGCGGGTGCTTGCAGAAGTAAATAAATAGCTAATCACGCTTAGATTTATTTACATCTGTAATGAAGCTACAAAGCAAGCGACACATGCGTTCCTTGGAACACTCTAGTTAGAATATACTTTGTTTTCATTATGTGTTTTTTTGGTCTCCTTTTCATCACATCTCAAATCACTTGTGTTTGAATGTCACATATTAAAAGGACATGCACATTCAATAATCACCTAGCTAGCTAACCATCACTTAGATATTTCAGATATATCCGAAGACATGATTTTTTTGCAAGCAAACAATTTATACCAATATGTTTTCATAACTGTGACAGTATTTTTATAAATAATGACTACTCCCTATCATTATTTAGCATCATACAATGACTGTTCCCTTGTCACATGTTCAATAAAGTGGAAGCCATGCCAAAGCCATGCTTGTTATTTCTTATTAATATATGAACTGATTTGTGATCGTGTACATCGTGAAACATGGTGTCAGAAGTATTTACTGAATCCTAATGGTGAGTAAAACGTCTTGATCGCCTGTCATTTATATAAATTGCTCCAAATATTGAAGAATCTACCCGATTTGTTTTGGACCGCATTTCCTCTGTTCGTAAAAAAACAATGTCCAAAGAGAATGAGCAAGTTGAAGCAGCTCCTGCTGCAGTACAATTTTTTTCCTATGAATATACCATTTCCTTAGCCCTTAAGTTTGAAAGTTTGAACAATGTCCAAAGAGAATGAGCAAGTTGAAGCAGCTCCTGCTGCAGTACAATTTTTTTCCTATGAATATACCATTTCCTTAGCCCTTACGTTTGAAAGGTGACCTCGCTACCAATTGAAACATTTCAAAAGAGTGTGGGAAAATTATGAGATCGCTATGGGGTTAAGGGAGAGAGATACCCAACTCAGATGTGCAACATTCCTCACTTGTTTAGGATCTAATGGTTTACATGTTGTAGATGGACTAAAATTTGATACAGATGACGTTGAGAAAGATATTGATAAGTTATTACGGCACTTGACACTTACTGCGTAGGTCAAACAAACGTCATATATGAACGTTACACATTTAACTGTATAAATCAGGGACAGTCTGAACATATAGATGCATATGTTGCAGAATTGCGTACACTAGCGAAAACATGCAACTTCGGGGACATGGAGGATGAGATGATAAGGGATCGAATTGTTATTGGAGTTCACGATAACCAGACCCGTAAAAAGTTGTTACAAGAGAAGAAACTAGACCTTCAGCGTTTCATAGATATATACCGGTCGAATGAGAAATCTGAATCTCAAATCAAATCGATGTTCACCATGTCAAGGTCTTAGAAAGTAAAAGAAGATAATTGTGGTAAAAATGAGAAACGTAGAGACAACCACACACAATCCATACCTACCGTTCAATTTTGTCGCTACTGTAGGAGAGCACATCCGCGCAGTCGAGAGAAATTCCCAGCGTTTGGACAGACTTGCAACTTATGTGGCGAGCAGAACCATTTTGAAAGGAAATGTCCTAGCAAAAAGCCTCCTAGAGCAAAACATCATGAAAAAAGTCGTGGTACATGGAACCGCAGAAAGTCTCAAGTTCATGAGATTGAGACTTGTGAAAGTGACTCATCAATGAACTCGTTCTTAGTATTGAACAAGTGCATTCACTATCATCAAAAAGTCATACGGCTGAATATCCATGACAAATATGTGGAGTTTCAGTTAGACAATGGGTCTACAGCTAATATCTTATCAGCTCATGGGTACGTGTGTCTCACAGGTGACAAAGAATTCCAGAATCTTAAGAAAACTGATGTTACCCTACAGATGTACAACAAATCGGAAACCAAGGCTTTGGGCACCATTAGAATGCCTGTTCGAAATCCGTGCAATGGAAAGAAGTATAATCTAGAATTCGTTATTGTGCAAGGCAAAGAGCTACATTGTATATTTGGTAAGCGAGCTATTGAAGGAATAGAACTTATTACTGTGCATATTGACAAATTACTCACAAAGACACAAGTTCAGAATGACGTCATTTCACAGATTGACATTAAAGAAGAAATAAATGAAAAGTATGTGTTCAAGGATCTAGGTAAACTGGATGGCAAGCTTCATCTGGAGGTCAAGGACAGTGTGCGACCTGTACAGTAACCGCGTAGGAAAATACCATTAGCCAGGGTTCTCCACATTTCAAAATTTAACCATGGAGGAAGCTGTGCAAAGGCGAAATGTGACCGAAAACACGAATGCGTGTTAGACTTCCTAACCTTCATTAATCAATGATTTATTTCACAAAACTTAAACCACTGCAACATAAAAAGTTGAAATAACCAATGATTTTTTTTAAGCTAATAAAAAATAGAAATAAAAAAAATATATATATATTTATCTTACTTTACAAATGTACCAAAATTGGCCCAAAACTGTAGAAACATTTTGAAGAAGTTAAAAAAACATATTTTGAGAGAGTAACCATGGCAACATTATTCAAAAACTGATATACAGAATTGATGTTGCCTGTTGTATGAAACGTTTTATTAAATATGACTAAAACTGATGAATGGGTAGTAATTTGAGAAAAAGTTAACAGACACACAAACGAACAGACGAACGAACACCGACATCCTATCAAAGCCTAGGCTTTTTTAACTGCATTGTTTATGAAAACTTACTGATGGCATACATGGTAAAAGTAACTTAATATAACCCGGGGCATAAATTTGACACAACTGTAATTTTGCTTTCTCTGTTCTGCTTTTTCCTAAATGTTCTTTTTTCTACATATTGCATTTTCGCCGAGTTTCCTTCTACACGTGCCCCAGTGCTAAAAATAGCGCCACGCTACCTTTTGTAAACACGGGAGGTAACTCTAAAACTAAGACGGCGATTGGCACTTGCGTACATTTTATAAAAAAAAGTTAATACTTAAAAACAAGGCATGAGGAATTGATTAAATACAAAGAACAGAAAATTTTGAAAGGGTGAACTTTGTCTTGGCAGAGAAACTTGAATCGGATGCTTGTCAATTATCATGCTGTTATTGCTCGTTATGTCATCTTTTGTAAATCCGTTATCTTATGGTGAACACGTTGGAATTCCCCGAAATTACATGTGTACAGGATAATTAACTCTCAAGATATTGATCATCAGCTGATTGACTCTCCATTGTCACGCTTCACAGCATTGTCGCCGATCAACGACCGTGTTTGTTTAGCACAGTCCGCTTTCTATCGAGGTATGCGAGGTGCATGGATGTCGTAGTATAAACACAATTAACTACGCAAGTCATTAAAAAGTAGGTGTCAATACTGAAATGTAATAAAAATTTAATCATGGCGGCCGCCGATTTTGACCATGGCGCAGCTCGTTTAACCATGGCGCACATAAATTTAACCATGGCGGGCCGCCATGGTAAAACCCCTTATGGAGAACCCTGCGTTAGCCTTGAAACCAAAAGTGAAAGAAGAGCTAAACCGACTGGAGAAGTTAGGTGTCATTAAACCGGTTAACACACCAACCGACTGGGTATCTGCCTCAGTGGTGGCTCCTAAACGCAATGGTGACATTCGCCTATGTATTGACCCGAAACCACTCAATGAGGCATTAATGCGGAACCATTACGCAACACCTAATATAGAGGATATTCTCCATTGTCGATGCAAAGGATGTTTTTTGGTACATTGAGCTTGACAGTGATAGCAACTATCTAACTACATTTGCTACGCCATGGGGCAATATCGCTGGTTGAGGATGCTATTAGGTATCTCTAGCTGTCGCACCTGAGGAGTTCCAAAGGAGAATGGATGACGCCTTAAGTGACAATCCAGGTATTAGACCTATACATGATGATGTGCTAATTTATTGATGTGGTGGGACAGATGAAGAAGCTGAAAGGGATCATGATGTGAAACTTCGAGCCCTAATGCAGAGATATATGGAGAGAAATATATAGATTAACCAAAGTAAGATGAAACGTAAGCTTAAGTCTGTCAATTATCTTGGATATGTGATCAGCAAGGATGGGTTGAGTGTTGACCCACAAAAACTCAAGGCGATACATGAAATGCCTACCCCAGAAGACAGGAGTTCAGAGATTATTGGGAATGACAAATTTTGTACAACGTTTTGCACCGCAGTTGTCTGAGATCACCAGTCCACTTCGAGATCTTCTGAGAGCAGAGACAAATTTTGTACAACGTTTTGCACCGCAGTTGTCTGAGATCACCAGTCCACTTCGAGATCTTCTGAGAGCAGAGACTCATTTTGCATGGAATCCGGATATCCACGGACAAGTATTTGACAAGGTCAAGGACACATTGTCTCGTGCAATTGTTCTCAAATACTTTGATACCAAGAAGAAACTGACTTTGCAATGTGATGTTCTACTGGACCAGGCGCATGCCTTATGCAAGATAATCATCATATCGCATATGCTTCACGTTCGCTGACAGCCACAGAACAGAACTATGCACAGATAGAGAAGGAGACTTTAGCCGCAGTGTTTGGTATGGAACATTTTTGAAATTTATACATATGGACAACATGTTACGATACAGTCGGATCAATAACCCCTATAAATCATTGTACCTAAAAATCTTCATAATGCACCCAAGCATTTGCAGAGAATGCTATTAAGATTGCAGAAATTTGAATACAGCATCGAGTACAAAAAGGGCACAGAGATGTATTTTGCCGACACTTTAAGTAGGGCCCATCTTATCACTGACTCTGATTCAGTTGAAGACAACATGCATGACATACACAGCATCAACCACCGTACCTACTTAGCAATATCTGATGAACGATACCCACAGATAAAGGAAGCTACAGAAAAGGATGATTCTCTACAGTTGCTGAAGAAGGTCATACTTGATGGATGGCCTGACTCTTCGAAAGAAGTCCACCCTGATATACAAGTGTATTTTCCGTTTAGAGAGGAGTTGTTCGTTCAAAACGGTGTCTCCTGCAAGACTGATCGAGTTGTCGTTCCTAGATCTATCACACATAGTATAGTAGAGCGTATATATAACTCTCATATTGGTATCCAAGGATATATCCGTCGTGCCCATGACTATGTCTACTGGCCAAATATGTCGAAGGACATTGAGTCGAACATTGGTCAATGTGCTGCATGTAATACTTACCAGGATGAACAACAGAAGAAGCCTATGATAAGCCATGGAATTCCTATTCGTCCTTGGCAAACAATAGAATGTGATCTGTTTGAATGTGAAAGCAAAGATTACCTCATGCTCGCAGACTATTATTCAGATTACGTTGAGGTGAAAAGACTTCATAGTAAAACAGGAAGTTCAATTATTCGCATGATGAAATCACAGTTCGCACGTCATGGAATCCCAGCGAGAGTAATATCGGACAACGGACCGCCATTTGGAAGCCGAGAGTAAAAGTTATAAATTCGAGCATGTTACATCTTCCCCTAGATATGCACAATCTAATGGCAAGGCCGAGAACTCTGTAAAGATTGCCAAACGGCTTATTCACAAGTGTGCAATGGACAGGAAAGATTCATTTTGGCGCTCCTAGATCTATGCAATACGCCTACACAAGGAATAGGCTACTCACCTGCACAACGGAAGACGCACAAAAACGATATTATCAGTAGCTGAAAATCTACTCAGACCACGTTATGCTGACTACACCAGGGAAAAGCTCTAAGAACGCAAGGAACGTCAGACATACTACTATAATCGAGGAGCTAAGGAGCTGAAACCCTTATCAGAAGGAGATACCGTTCGTATTAGACCTACATTGTACAGTAAATGAAAAGGAATGGAAAAAAAGCATTTGTTCAGAAACAGAGTGATATACGTTCTTATAAAGTGAGAACTGAGGATGGTCGCGTATACCGACGCAATCGACGTCATCTCCGAGTTAGTGGAGAACCATTCCGTCCTGATCATGAAAATTCAGAGTCTGAACCTTTGACTGAACAATCACAGTGCAGTGATGATCCCATTCTTACAATAGTCAGCAATGAACCAAAACCAGCTCCTCCAACATCAGAATTATGCAATACACAAGATTCTGTACCCGTTCAGCGTCCCAAGCAACAAGTTTCATCAAGTCCAATGAAAACACGTAGTGCTCATATAGTTGTGAAACCAATTCGTTACCGTGATGTGTAGGGCAAAGGTAGATAGTGAAAGAGGTAATAATAACTCCTCGTCTACCTATTTCTCAGTTAATATTAGACTTCATGTAAATAATTACTTGCCTGAGTTTAGACTTACTGTTTGTAGACTAGTTTGCAAAGGAAGACTGTGTTGAGGGCATTATAATCCCTAGTCTCCTAACATGGCAAATAGCCTTGTATTTGCTTATTTGCTAGTCAGTCTTGATTGTTATTAAATCTTATTTCTCATTCTATAATGTAATATTGCATGTTGAATGTACACACTGTTTTAATTTGTTTAATGGTAATTTGTTCATGGTTTTCTAACACTCAAATGAACAATCATTCAAGGACAGTAAAGTTTCAGTATTCGAAGAACTTTGTAAACTTAACATTTTAAAGAAAGTGGGATGTGACAGTATTCTATATATAATGACTACTCCCAGTCATTATAATGCATGATACAGTGACTGCTCCCTTGTCACATGTTCAATAAAGTGGAAGCCAGGCGAAAGCCTTACTTGTTATTCCTTATCAAAATATGAACTGATTTGTGATCGAGTACATCGTGAAACAATAACGTTAAATATTGAGATCTCCTTTTTGAAATTGCACAACAATAGTAATAGTAATAATAATAATAATAATAATAATAATAATATAATGATCATAAAACAGTACCTGGATTCATAAGTATAACGAAGAAAATAATGTTGATCCTCAAGACATTCATATCCTTAAGAATTCAACAAATGTACAAAGACAGAAAACTCTACAGCAAATTAACATTGCAGATATCTCAGAAGTATATCTGAAAATAGCACAAGGAAATCAATCAGCAACAAAACGTACTTGGACATAATCAAATCCTATTTCTTGTTACTTTAAGTGAAAGTTTTCACCAGATGTGATGCATTCCACAAATATGTGTAAATTTCTTATCTTATGGGCAGGAATGATCATGTTCAACTGAATTTAAATGTCTGGGTAATTTTACTACCTTGATATTTTTGTGACATGTTTAGATATACAAACGTCCACCTGAACAAACTTTTGTTAGCATAGGTATTTAAAAATTTGAGCAAATATCAAGTATTTATTCTGGCAAAAATTTAATGGTACCCATCGCTCTACTTCTGTTTTACTATTATTGACCATCACTTTTAAGAGACATATATTTTTTGGGGAATTTCATTTCCAAATAGGTACTTTTTTCCATCGAGTTGGATATATAGCGCATGAAATACTGTTCATTTTTCAACAGATATTTTAGACAGCTCAGAAAACAATTAACCTTAACAACTAAATTTACACCGAAAAATTAAATTCGTATCAAATGTATTGAAATGAAAAGATATTTTTCAAAGTCCTTTTGTACCACAGTTCCTTTTGAGGGCAATCTTTCCAATTACTAAGATTTCAAATATAGGACACCACAGAAATCATCATACTCATATTAGAAGATGAAACTGCATTTTTCAGGCAACTGAATGTTGACTGAGAGGTCTGGAAAGGTGGCTGAATGAAAGAGCTCTGGCATTCAGTCACCTTTCATTTACTTGAATGGCAGAGCTCTATCCTATAGAACTTAATTTTCTATTATCCATTAATAACGAGTGAAGTGGACAGATTTCATTGAGCAAACGTTACGAAAAGCATGATTCAGTCTGCAAAAATAACCACTCAATCTTTTAGCTAAACAGATTTTATTGATGATTATTATATTGATAAATGTGATTGAGTTTGTAATGAAAAGTGTTTTCTTTTAAATGTTCCTTTTTATACAAAAAAAATATGCATAAAAATCAGAGGCATGCTCTTCTTTAAATTGATGGAATTATCTGATTTAAATAAATATGACAGAATGCATACAGATCAAAGTCTTCTGGGGGGTGGGGGGGGGGGGGGTGTACAAATTTCCACTAATAAGGCATATTGTTTTTTTATATAATATTTAAAAAATAAGAACAAGATATTATTGAGTTTACTATTATTTACACTGGAGAATTTACTCTTCTATTAATTAATATAAATATTTTGAAAAAAAAATGAAAGAATTATTGTACATGCTTTATTTAAAAAAATTATTAGTAATGCCACGAACATGTGTACAAATGTGTTAACAATGACCTTTTTTCTTGATCATACCCCCTCAGTCCACTGTTTTCGATAGGGTGTCGCTTTCCGTGTATTGCAGAGTTCAATTTAGTTTACATCTCTTTGGAGTTTACCAGACTATGTATAGGGTATCCAAAGGTGCCCCAAACAAATAACAATTATTTCAAAGCTGAAGCGTCCCACCTGGCCTACTTTTCATACATTCTTTGTAGAAGAGTTACAACGAGGCAATGGATTCAAAGAAAAATATATATTAAAATATCTTAACAATACAAAAAAATAAAGTTTCATCTTTTCCTTAAAAGACTTTAACTTTATCTCCTTCCTTTAAAAGAAATTGTGTTCCTCTTTTTTTCATTCTTCGATGGCAGTTCTTAACGAGGCCCAATGTACTTGGTCTGCGCATACGTTTTCATGCAGCGTTGTTTCAGACGCGTCACAGTACCCTTGATTGCCGTCAGAATTGAATTCAATAACAGTTAAAATGACGTCAAATTGGGCTAAAATATTTCGCTATTATTGCATACCTCGTAGGTTTGGACATGTAGAAAGCTCTCTAATTAATGCTTGCATTTCTGTCAATTCTTGTGTATTAATAAATGAATATTTTAATTAATAAGCAACTTTGTAACATAATTTATTTCGCGATATTGTCAATTTCTCAGTAGAGATTTACCAGTTTTATTTTATTTTATTTTAATTTTTGAGTTTGAAAAAACCACTTCAACCGAAAGTAAACAATAAGTCTTGTAGTCTTAGAAACTATTTATTTACCAGTTTTGTTGATACCTTAAATATGCATGAAGTAGATTGACTTTTTTTTTAAAAAATGTACAAGCCTTTTAAATGCAACCTAGAAGAAAAATATTAGTTTCCTACATCGCAATACACTTTGTAATTCATCGCCTCATTACACCCCCTTTTCTTTTTCCAGTTAAAATGACGCTATGTGTTAAGAAGAATAAAGAATGAAGAGAAAATTCTTTCATAATATAAGAAGCACTTAATTTTGAGAAACATATACAGTGCAACAATCATTTGTTGATATTATGTTAACCTTAGATTTTTAAAGTCCTATTTTTGTGTTTTGATACGCCTCCTTTTCACTACAATAAAGGCTACCCCCAATTTTCTTCTCATTTTTTTTTTAATGAGGAATGGATTTTGCATAACATATGTGAAAAGCAAAAGATTTCACAATTTATTTTTTTTTATTTGTCAATTCCATTGATATTTACTAATAGGTAGCTTTAGCATGTAATTGTGTGTAAAACCACAAAAAAAGTCCACATTTTGAATTTGCCCCCATTCCACTACAATCACGGCAAGGTAACAATATTTCAATGTAATTCCTAGCATGCTACATACAAACATATATCTAAAATTGAGAAATATTTACCGGTCCGTTTTCGTAATTTTCAACTAGATTGGGCCTCGTTAAGTTTCTTAGCCTTACATTTTGCAATACAAGTCAATTTGTGTAATGAAAAAAAATGTTTGGGACTACAGATTTTGCAAAATGGTCAATGGCAAAATTGGGAAAAAAGATTAAATCAAGTAATGATTGCATTTCACCTACATTGCGAAAAAAGTGCTGAGTCTCATGACAATATATTACTTCAATTATTGACCTTTATTGAATGACTTACAAAACATCTCAAGAATTAATGCAAAAATAAAATGCAATATATAATTCTGAAATGCAATCAAAGTATGACATAATTTCAAACGTTAAACAAAAATCAATATGTCATCATATATGCTACAAAGGGCTTTAAAGTGAAAGACTTGTCATTTATTGACCTCGTAGACATGTTTCTTTCAAATGTTGTAAAAAATACAATTTTTCGATAGACTTATTAGAATGTGTCTTTTGGCAGTTATTGGTAAGCATGAGCCGCTCTAACTAAAACGCTAAAGTTTAATTAAACGCCTATGTTCTGAAATCATTTTCTTTCCAGAATGAAATAAGAAATATTGCATATTCAAAAGAGCCATAGCGCATTTGATAGGCATTATCGCCTACTCTACTAGTGATTTCTTAAATTCATTGTTTATCCAAAATTTTGTCATACAATATTAGTTTATACATACGTAAAACCAAACCACACAATAATGATATTTCAATATTGATAGTTCCTTCATATGATAAATATATAATTTATCCAGTTTGTATGGAGTGTATAGTCAATATTGAGGTATCCACCTAAAGATGACAAATTGTTGCTAAAGACCACCCTTAACCAGAAAATCAACTTTTGAATAATTTTATTTGGATATGACTGCACTTCATTGCATTTAGATAATTTTGGTTAAAGGTGGTCTTCATATTGAATATGATGAAAATATATATTCAAATTTTCTTCTCATATAATCGTAAGATTTAGCAATCTGTCTTAAATTTATCCATTAGACGTCATTGACTTCGTTGGCGCAGTGGTATGATTACTGGAATGTAAATATGGTGATTGCGAGTTCGAGCCCCACATTTTTCCATTTATGCTTTTTTAATTTTTTTTTCTTTGTATATCTTTTCTACGTTTTTCTTTATTATGTTTTATAATATGCATAATTTCAGGAAGTTATATTATACACATTACACTTTGAAAGTATCTCGGGAAAAGACAGTCCTAAAATATTTTATTAAAGTCATATATAGAGTATTTAACTAAAATTAGAAAGATCTTTCTATTTGTTTTATTACTTTATATAAAGATAGGACTTTCCTGTAAATTACACAATTAAAATCAATCACGTTTCACAGGTATTAGAAATTTAATACAATATCCGATTTATTTAACGACTCCGCATTTAATTAACAGACACAGTTTAAAATCAATTTAACTATGGAAACATTAGGTTATTCATGTTCAAAATCGTTGAAAATTTTTATTTGAACGTAAAAAACATATATCACGTTTATCTTTACTCAATCTCGTATTTTTATTTTTATTTTTATTTTTTTTTTTAGCTCAGATACGCCATATATAGCTTTAAAGTTTGTAAATTCATAGCTACTTGTTTTATTTTTATTGATTTTCTAAATCTTTTGTCTCAGAATTAGAGTATTGAACCAATTGAATGAATGTCATTTGACATACTTGCAACTATGAAAATATAATACTCGTCCTCAAACCATATTACATAGTTTGATCTTGAATAGAAAAGGTATATCTATAAATAGAAACAGGTGATTTCCTTTTAAATTCTTGAGTCGGCCATGTCGTCGGAGAGGCAGCTATGGCTCTTTTCCTGCATTTCCATCAGCAACTGAAAGGAAATTTTAATGATACTAACGAGGTATGTCTGTGTTCCAGGAGCACTTTCTGTTCCTGGAACATCGTTACAGCACTGCGTTTCAAAGTCCTTATGGGTGAACATGTAAATTGACTTGAGTTTCGTCAAACAAGTTGAGAAACAGTATAAATTATTTCTGACATTTTGAAAATCCAAACACAGGTTTGTATCGGCATCATTTTTCACTCTTAAGTTGTGTACGTCTTTTTGTTTGTTTGTATGTTGTTTAACGTCCCTCTCGAGAATTTTTCACTCATGTGGAGACGCCACCACTTGCCAGTGGAGAGCTGCAAATTTTGTCCTATACTCGGCACTTACGGCCATTGAGCAGTGAGGGATCTTTTTCGTGCCAGCACCTATTGCGACACGGGACCTCGGTTTATACGGTCTCA